AGATGTGTATAAGAGACAGTATTTAAACAATAGCGTTTTGGAGCTCGCGATCGTTTTTAATAATTCATAATAAGAATGTTAAATTTCTCGCACCTATTTAAACGATCACGTTTCGGAGTTCGCGATCGACTTGGTTAATTAAATATATAACTGTAAAATTTCCGCACTCATATAGACGAACACTTTTCGGATATCGTTCTAATTAAATCCAACGTTCTAATTAATTAATAATAAAATTGCTAAATATCTCGCGCTCATTTAAACTATCACTCTCCGGGTATCGCCAACGTTCTAAGTAATGAATAATACAATTTTTACATATCTCGCGTCTATATAAACGATCACGTTTTGGAGCTCGCGATCGTCATTGTTAATTAAATATAAGAGTGTAAAATTTCCGCGCCTATATTAACGAACACTTTTCGGGTATCGCCAACGTTCTAATTAATTAATATAAAAATTGTTAAATATCTCGCGCTCATATAAACGACCACTTTTCGGGTATCGCCAACGTTCTAATTTTTTAATGATAAAATTGTTAAATATCTCGCGTACATTTAAACTATCACTTTCCGGGTATCGCCAACGTTCTAATTAATTAATATAAAAATTGTTAAATATCTCGCGCTCATATAAACGACCACTTTTCGGGTATCGCCAACGTTCTAATTATTTAATGATAAAATTGTTAAATATCTCGCGTTTATTTAAACTATCACTTTCCGGGTATCGCCAACGTTCTAATTAATTAATAATAAAATTGTTAAATATCTCGCGCCTATATATAAACGATCATGTTTCGGAGCTCGCGATCGACTTTGTTAATTAAATATAAGACAGTAAAATTTCTGCGCCCATATAAACGAACATTTTTCGGGCATCGCCAACGTTCTAATTATTTAATGATAAAATTGTTAAATATCTCGCGCCTATATAAACGATCACGTTTTGGAGCTCGCGATCGTTATTGTTAATAAAATATAAGAGTGTAAAATTTCCGCGCCTATATAAACGAACACTTTTCGGGTATCGCCAACGTTCTAATTAATTAATATAAAAATTGTTAAATATCTCGCGCTCATATAAACGATCACTTTTCGGGTATCGCCAAGGTTCTAATTATTTAATGATAAAATTGTTAAATATCTCGCGTTCATTTAAACTATCACTTTCCGGGTATCGTCAACGTTCTAATTAATTAATAATAAACTTATTAAATATCTAAAACGATCACGTTTTGGAGCTCGCGATCGACTTTGTTAATTATATATTATATAAGATTGTAAAATTTCCGCGCCCATATATTCGAACACTTTTTGGGTATCGCTAACGTTCTAATTAATTAATAATAAAATTGTTAAATATCTCGCGCCTATTTAAACGATTGCTTTTCGGGGCTTGCGATCATCTTTGTTAATTATAAATAAGACTGTTAAATTTCCGCGCCCATACAAACGAATACTTTTCGGGTATCGCCAACGTTTTAATTAATTAATAATAAATTTGTTTAATATCTCGCGCTCATTTAAACTATCACTTTGCGGGTATCGCAAATGTTGTAATTAATTAGCAATAAAATTGTTAAATATCTCGTGCCTATTTAAACGATAGCGTTTCGGAGCTCGCGATCGTCTTTGTTAATTATAAATAAGACTGTTGAATTTTTCGCACCCATTTAAACAACCACTTTCCGAATACCGCGAACGTGGTAATTACTTAATAATAAAATAGATAAATATCTCGCGCCTATCTAAACGATCGCTTTTCGGGGCTCGCGATCATCTTTGTTAATTCTATATAAGACTGTTGAATTTCCGTACAAATTTGGACGAACGCTTTACGGATATCTCCAACGCTATAATTAATTATTCATAAAATTGTTAAACACCTCGCGACTATTTAAACAATCGCGGTTTGGAACTTGCGATCGTCTTTCTTAATTAAATATAAGACTGTAAAATTGTTTTCCGTGAGTGTCCTGTGTGAGAGGAAAAGGATGTCTGACAACTCAATTCTAAGAGATGGTGGAAGAGGTCTGGGAGAGGCATCGGGCATTGTCGGAGCAATTTTGGGGTAAATAATATTTTTTACTCATATAAAATTAGTAGAGATATATTAATCAAAAAGCTTTTAGTTTCACACCATATTCGCAATTCCACTTTTGTGAATCACTTTTAATTTGCATCAGCAACATTTTGCAATTTTTTCTTAAACCTTTTTGAATAGAGTATGTTTTGACAAGATATAATTTTCATCAGTGATAATTATATATTCTGATCGACGTTTTGCTTATCCGCGTAGAGTTGATATACTTGTTGCACAAAATTTATCATGCATGCTTTTATTCGTCTGTTTAAAGGCTTGATTACGTTTTTATATGACGTTAAATATTTCGTACTGACATACGGAACTCTCTGTGCTCATTTTTAGTGTGACAGCTGTCGCGCAGCTGATC